TTGCTTTGGAATATGAAATAAAAAATATATTAAGTTGCCGTTCAAAAAAGTAATAAACTTAAAAAGAATTAACATAAAAATATAATTTTTTTTTATTTCAAAAATGTTTGCGAACTGTGATGAATTCAAATTATGTGAAAAAATATACAACGTTAATACTTTTTGAGATAGCTACTAGGTAACTATACTGAATAATGAGACATGACTTCAAGTTTATGTTTACTAATTACTTATAAAATAATTACCATTTGGCATTGAGTATTGACCATTTCTTCACCTTATAAGTATACTAGAAGTTACAATACAATAACAGGTATGAAAACATTAAACAAGCATTTATTCAGTAATAATATTTTGTTTATTTCCATCGACTTAATATAGTTTTGTAAGTTCTTGATAATTTGATCAAACTTCTGAAATGTAGTAGGTACTTACTCGAAACTATAATGATTAATGTATACATTTTTCATTGCTTCAGCCTTTCTTCCAATTCTATGACTGCAGTGAGTAGGACTTCTTCCATAAAGTCCGATAATGACAACAATTGTATACGTAGTACCAAAAAACAAAAAAAAACAAAGATTTACTCGTATGTAAATGGAAACATCAGAGTGATTAAATCATTTACCGGAAGCCCAAAGGACTTCCAACACTTTACGTGCCCCGCAACAAGATCTGCTAGACGGGCTGACGCTCCGGACCTCCACTGAAATTGATTGAAATAAAATTTTAAAAAAAATTACAAAATATAAGAAAAATGTGTAACCCATTGTCGTTCACAAATGTTATACCGAAAGTAATTCGGGCTTCCGTTTTCCATGCATCGATTTGTATTTAAGTACTGGACAATCGACTGCAGGACCGAGTGCATATAATATAGTTATAGTGTGCCAGTTACATGTAGAACCACGTGTATATTATGTCAGACCTACTAAAAATATGCACGGGGCGTCCAGTAAGTGGCAAACATTAACCAAATATTTGAAAATTGAAAATTTGAAAGCAAAATATAAATAAAAGTTATATATTTGTTTAAAATTTGGTAATCTCTTTATTGGGCGTCTGTACATATATATATATATATTTATATTTATAATATTATATACATAAAAATGTGAGTCCTAGAAAAACAACACTCAGGACCAAGTAGGTACTAAATAAACTATACGACCTGACAAACAGTAGGTGCTGACTTAAAGAACCGCGTCCCATAGTTGAACCTAGAAAACAATATGTGCAGGGCATCCAGTAAAGAGCAAACATTAACCAAATATTTGAAATTGAAAATTTTAAGTCGTTATTTTTAAGCTAAATAATATTATCTATATATTTGTTCAACGTTTGATAGTTTCTTTATTGGACGTCCTGCACATAATATATATTATATATAAATAATAATTAGGTGCCCTAAGCGACTCCTAGCAAAATTATGCTCAGGACCAGGTACTGAATGAACTATACGACCTGACAAATAGTCCATATTATAATACGCGTATAGTACGTTGATGACTTGAAAAACTGTGTACACTGCAGCTGAACCTACAGAAAATATGTGCAGGGCGACCAATAAAGAGCAAACATTAACCAAATATTTGAAATTGAAAACTTTAAGACGTTAAAACATGATAGTTATTTATTTGTTTAAAGTTTGGTCATCTCTTTATTGGGTGTCCTGTACATATTATTATGTAAAAAGTTGGATTCCCGGCAAAACTTCGATCGGGCACTGCAGCTGAAGGGATAAGTGTCTCACTATAAGATTTCAGATCATCTCAATGACTTAGTGCATTATGTCTCGCCGACTTGAAATCAATTTTGAAAATGTATATTTGACGATCTGTGAAATACTAAAAAAAAATTCTATTCTAAATGCATACTGTTTATAATTATTATGTTGTGAAATGTTTATCGTTGCGTTGCTACGTAATGCCCGATTTTGTTGTTGGAATCGAAAATCGTATAGGTACTTAATATTATTATCTGCATGAATGACATTATAATACAGTAGTCACTCGATAATTATTCGAACCTCAATAATTCGAAAAACTCCATAAATCGAACTAAACGGTGAGTCCCCTGAGAAAACCTCTATAGTTAGAAGAAAATACATGTATTCCGGTCCCCTCGATAATTCGAAATATCTGTGACAATTTGAATTTGTTTTCACGGACCTCTTCAATTCGAATTTTCTTAAACGCGATTATATGGATGTACACATAAAGATTATTTACTATCTATTTGACGTAGGAACTCGTAATGAAACTATTAACGACGGGTACAATGGTTATATAATTATTATAATTATTATCGTAGTTTATACATTTTATCGTACCTTACATACCTAATTTAAACTTTAATATGTATGTATAATAAATAAATGTCAATTTAAATGTAGTACATACATACAATTGTTCACCTCTCTTTAATTCGAATTAATTTATTTTCCCTCGATTATTCGAAAACTCAGTAAATCGAAAACCTCTATAAATCGAAATTTTAACTCGGTCTCCTGAATTTTGAATTATCGAGTGGCTACTGTATAGTATATTTATTTCGTTGTTTCGTAACTAAGTGATGGGTGGTGTATACTGGGAAATATATAGGGAGGTTTGATTAGGTGAGGTCCTTACTTGAATAAATTAATTGTTTTCAAGAGTTGCTTATGCCCCCCTCATGGTTTACCACATTTGTTTAGTTAGATATTAAATATTATGTAGTAAATAAAAGTACTTAAAATATATTTTTAAAAAAATTGCCCACAAGGTTCTGCTGTGTTTACATTACGTATTTTGTGGGTCACTGTGCCATTGTGGTTATGGGTTAATATAAAATTGATATAAAATCATTGTATACGAAAAACGATTCTAAGGGAAGATGGTCGTCAGCCCATATTACTAAGCAGTTGCGTCATTTTAGTTTTTTTTTCAGGGTGTGAAAGATTTTAGGCAGGCCAATTTTAACATTTAATCAGGCCAAATTTAACATTAATATCTAAACAATAACCATGCCGCTTAAAGTATTTAAGTATGCTAATATTATCTCCGTCCCTTTTATAATCCTAACAAAAAATTACTCATATCAACTAATTTATATTGTAATTTTCAAATAGCTAGCAGTTCAATGTATTAGAAGGCTTTTAATAAAAACATATAAGCAACTAAAACAAGTAGCAACTAGCGGCCAACAGAAGCCATTTTACTACTATTTGGAGAATTAAAAGCAAATGCTGTTTAAGGAATTATTTTTAATAAATATAATTCAAAAATTAAACACTATTCAATATTCATACAAAATAACACTTGATTAGTTATTTTTCTACAGGTTCTAATATAATTATCAGCTATGCTATGCTCACTCCACTATAGCTGATACCAGCAGGCTGGCACGAACTGTCTTACATAATATAACCACAGAATTGTGGTTATCAAATAGGGATACAATTGATGATAAAGCTGATAAAAAAATAAATTTAAGTTACATGCATGAATCAGTGGCGCCAAAATATATATTTACTTGATGTATGGTAAGGTAATTATAATAAATAGGTGGGTGTCAAAATTCTATGTGGAGGTGTCTATTGTCATAGTTAACATTTTGGACTTCAGGGCCACTGGGCCAAGAATATTTTATTAATTCTTAATAGTAATCATATCGGCGCATAGGAGCATTAATGGAGGGAAAATTATTTATTCTATTATGTTAGTGGTGCCGTCGCACACCTGCCCACCCCCAAATTACGCCCCTGTAACTAAGTATATATTATGATATTATTGCTATTAAAGTGATTTATTTTACTACTCGTCATTATAGTAATAAGTACAGTATAGACTATAGGTTGAACTTTTAAGCACAAAAGAATAATATTTTTAAATCTCAACAAAATAACTAAATTATGAAAATCGTGGGTAGGTGGCCGTATTTTTGGCAGTCCACGTGACCTCGTCCAACGGATTTCGAGTACGATACAAACGGTACCTAAATACACGACTTTTAAACTACGGGTACCTACTTCATGAATGAATTTGAAATGCGTCATGAAATAACGAAACGAACTTGAAATTCGGACATATAGCGAAAAAACACAAGTATAATAATAATAATGGCAATAATAAAATAGTTAAAAATATGTTAACTTCGATACTGTACGAGTACGAATGCGATAATAACGGGCCTAGACCTATTATAGGTCATATTACATGGACATAGTCATATTGTAATTTGTATTGGTCTATGGCCGATGGGTGGTAGTTTCGTCAAAACACTGAGCTTTTCTATACCCGACGTTTCTATACCTTCACGATTTATTATAATATATTAGATAATATCATGACGATGATCGATCGTGATGTTATAGAGCTTGACAATTTAAACGTACGACGGTTGAATTTATAGCTGGTAAAGGCGGTGCAGGCGAACTTGTGTGTACATCAGTAGAATGCACGACATAGGCCTGGAGTTGTAGTGACATCTTCCCAATACAGCCATATTGTTATATGTACTTACGATTTTTTTTTTCAAATGTCTACATTTTAAAATAGAGATATTTGGTACCCGACGCGAATGCTTGGTTCGTTGCAAGTACCTGCGACACAAGTATTGATACCAATTCCAAGGTCGTTTCCAAAAATAATGTATTTGCAAAACGCTTGTGACTTAGTTAGGTTGTGTGTCAGGTTTTATTTTTGTGAAAGTTAATAAAACTACTTTTTGTATAGAATGAACAAAAAACATTGTTTATATTTTTTTATATTGTAGGTATTTGTCTATTGTAATAAAAATTGTATAATAACTACAGTCATATTGGGTGGAAGCTTCAAAATTAATGAAAACAATAATTATATCGGTATTGCATATGATCGGTCTCTGGAGGTGTATATACGTCACAAATTGAAAAAAAGTAAAATAATTTACATAACAAGAGGGCCATAATATATAATATTACGAAATAATCGTATATTTTATATGATAATAATATTTAAACAAATTGTATTGTGTTCTAGGGACTTGAGATTTAATAAAATCAAGGATATCGAACCCAAATCATTAGCTCACCTGACAGAGTTAAACACCTTGTAAGTTTTAATATAATGTCAACAGTCTTAAATGTATAAATATACATTATTAATTTATTATAATCTAAAATTTAAACATATTTTCAGATTGTTGAACAACAATAATATAAACGATCTGAAAAATGGTGCATTTGCAAACCTTTCGAAGCTTCGATTATTGTAAGAATAAAAATTAACAAGTAGTGATTATATTTATTTATTTACTAAATATATTAATAATATGAAGTCAAACGAGTATATCCTCGTGTACTTATATAATAATATTATTACCTATATATTATATAATAAATTATTTATTTAATAGATACTTGTATAAAAACAAAATCGAAAACATCGAGACTAGGGTATTTAATAACTTAACGAGCTTGGAACAATTATACTTGCATTTCAACAAAATTCATAAGCTCGATTTGGAAATGTTTAAGGGACTTACAAAACTGGAAAGACTGTAAGTATTAAATACATTTTTCATGACGTGATGGTATCGTGCATGTATAGCCAAGTGAAATAATGACATTTTATATTTTATAAATAGATTTTTACACAACAATAGGATAAGAAAAATTCCACCTGGAACATTCGATTCATTAACGTCGTTGGGTCGTTTGTAAGTCGGCATGAACTGCTTACAATACAATACATTATTAATATTATAATAATAAATAATTGTTATACTTTCATTGTTTGAACTATATTATGTGTCTAAACTAAACACTAATAATTTATATTATAGACGGCTAGACAGCAACCTGTTGACATGCGATTGCGATATTCTGTGGTTGGTAAACGTGCTGAAGAAAAGTCACACCTCGGGAGAAGAATTCGGGGAGTTCACTGCGACGTGTCATTTTCCCGTAGAAATGAGCGGAAAATCGTTGATGGAAATGACCGAAAACGATTTTCATTGCAGTGAGTAATCGGTCTAATTAATTACAAAGTCATAAAGTTATAACCTAATATTATATTAATATATTAAACTCTATAATCTACTTATATTCCCTGAAACAGTCAGTGCTGCCTATTTATTGTTGTTTTTTTTCATCTATTTGGGATTTCAGACGAGTTGCGGTTTAAAGAAGAACCCAACGACGTGACCGTGTCATTTGGGGGTTCTGCGTTTTTCACGTGCAAGGTAGAAGGCAATCAGAACGTGAAAACGATTTGGACTCGCGACAAGTAAGACTTAAACGATCGGAATAATGAATATTAATAACAAAAACTTATTACACTAAATTGTATTCATATATTATACTATTAACCATTGTACATTTGTACGTACCTACAATAATGTATTGTATATTATATATGTTGTACACGCGAGCAGCAACGAGATTGATATGACCGATTCGAGGTATTCGATGACCAACGACGGGCTCATGATCAAATCCGCGTCGTTGAAGGACGTCGGCACGTACGAATGCATGGTGAAAAAAGAAAACATCGAGTTGAAGTCACGACCGGCCAAAATCATATTAGAGTCCAGCGCGACAGCCGACAGTAAGTGCATTTGGTCGTAATGGATAATTATTGTTTGACTGATGTAGTTGTCGGGAACGAGTTGTTATATTATAATAAAATATTATAATGTGGTGATTCTGACGTATATAATATATTGTTTTACATACAGCGCCTCCGGAAATCATCGTGGAACCGGGCCACAAGACGGTGTCGGTCGGCGAACAGTTGCGACTAGCGTGCGAAGCCGTAGGAGTGCCCGAACCGTCTATAACGTGGGCCAAAGACGACATCAATCTAGAACTTGGCCAAAGAGTTCAGGTACGATAATTATAAGATAATATTCGTTCTTAGTTTGGGCAAATCAGCTATATGTAACATAATCGTATACTGTTGTTAAAAAATTAGCTATTCATTATTTACTCTATAGTGTTTGCAGTAGCTCAAACTTTTTAGGAATAATTTTTTCCAATAATTTTGCACCCCTAAATATTCTCTATCTCCTTAAAAGCCACCCCCCTAATCCACCCATATAATTACACTGACTGTAGGTAAGTCCTATAATCGCTGACGGAAACGAATTTATTAATTAAACTCTATATATTCAGCATTGTAAAACTTATATTAATACGCGAGCATGTATTTCAAATATTATTTTTTCCTATGTGAGGATCATTGTCTATTAGCGACCAATTTTCAACAGTTGACATTTTACGAAAACGTTTTTAAATTGTAAGCATAGCAAATATTTGGCTAAAAATATCACCTGATATACTGACTCTGAATCTAGTAAAAAATTTAAGAGAGTAATTTTTTATTTTCTCACGTTTTCATATAAAATTTTAGAGTTTTTGTTTATACGGGAAGGGCACACCAGATCTCCTAAAAAATGACATTAGTTACAAATTATTTAGTTGAAACATACCTAGTTAAAAATGTATAAGCTTGTTTCAATGATTTAACATTGAATTTGAATTTTACATAATATGCATACCTATCCACTATCCATATTGCAATAAAATGTAATATATTATGAACAACACTCGTTATTACCTATTAACAATATACCCAAAGCAGAGATACTTCCCCGGTTCTTTTTTTATGACGTACCTACCTATTGTCAGTACCTAGTTGACTTTTATCATTTATTTTACTTTATAATATTTAGTGTAATACATTTCAAATTAATGTAATGTTGATTAAAATATTAATCCATATACTACTTACTTCAGGTATTTCAAAACAATACATTGATTATATCTAAAGTGGAAAGAACGGACGTCGGTCATTATAAATGCGTGGCGTCCAATTATCTGGGACGAGTATCTTCCGAGGCGATGGTTAACGTAAACGGTAATATCCTGTATATAGTCGTATATCATTATCATAATATATAAGTTCTAAGACTCGTATGATTTTTAATTTGGCCATATTTTAGTACTAATGCGTTCTACCGAAACATTTTTTTGAAGTACAGCTCCAAGTATAAAATATTTTTTTTTAATTCTGAAATTTAAGTATAACGAATCATAAAAGGTACTCAGATTACTATTGATTATTGTGCATTAACAATATTACAATAATAATTGTTTTCACAATAATTTACCAAATCATCAGATATTATATAGGTAATTATGTAGGTATAGGTATTGTGTTATGTTATGCTGTAGATTTATCATTTACCTTCTTCTTAACCTTTATGGCTTATACTGTTATTATATAAATATATATAATATATATCTAAGCATTCTAAGCTCCGTATACCAACTCCATGACATGTGCTTTTTATAAATTATTTCTTCTAAAATGTTGACAAAATATTGTTATTTAATTATAATTTATAAGCAACTTTGGTTTTCTTCAATTGAAATTCTATAGTCTATTAGTGCGAGAGTAACTACTCCTGCTGTAGTTTAGATCGACATTTTTGTAGACCTCAATAATTTTAGATGAATAGGAAATAGAATAAAAGAAAATTAAAAAATATTCTAAAACAGTCAGCCTTTATATTATAATATTTATTCACAAACCTATGTTTGTCTCACACAGCTCCTCCGGTCATCGTTAGCGCTTCCCACGACATAACCGTGAAAACTGGCGCCACTGTTGAACTCCAGTGTCTGGTCGAGGGATATCCTAAGCCCGTTGTCACCTGGTTCAAAGACGGCCGTTCGATCACGCCGGGTCCGAGGACATCGTTCCACAACGAAAGTAATTGATATTATAAATATTGATTATCTCTCTGTACAATATATATTACAATGTAGCCTAAGCCTAATATTATATTGTTATTGACACCTATTATCATCCTATGCGTTTTCAAATGTTTAAGGAACGACGTTACGCGTGGAACACGCAAAAGACGGCGACAGGGGTATGTTCACGTGTTTGGCTCAAAATTTGGTTGGATCGGCCGAGAGCAACATCGAAATAAAGGTCAGAGGATACGGTCCCAGACGTCCGAAGCTTCTGATAAAGCCGTTCGACATGGAAGCCCCGCAGAGGACAAGCATCGAAGTGCCTTGTAAAGCTGATGGAGATCCCACGCCAAACGTCACATGGACCAAAGACGGCGTTGATCTTGTCCAAGACCAAAACCACAAGTCAGTGCGAGTTGCATATCTTGCTTATTTTATTCTCTATAACACAATTAAAATAGTTTCGTTATCCAAGTATTGTAAATTCTAAAAGCTGGCAGAATAATAATGCATGATATCATTAGTAAATAACAGTCGTTAGAGGTTAGGTAAGGTTAGGCATATAGGTTGTACCTATGTTTTTTTTTTATCCCCGATCTAATTTATTTTATCTGTGTAACCATAAAAAAGTGCCATCGACGAACAACAATTATCGTACCTATCTTAAAATAATTTTATTTCGAGAATATATTTAAAGTAATTAATCAAATAAATTCTCACTAAACAAAAAAAAAATGTTTAAATTATCAAGTTTGTAAAAATATGCTAAATACAGTTTTGCATAATAATTGTAATTACTTACGACTTATGAGTAATAATATTTAAAAATTTTTATTCCTCCTACGACATATCAAAATCAAACTGAAAACATGTGAATGATTTAGATTTGCTATACTATGGTGATGAGTAGACATAATAATAACCAACGACTTAATGGATTTTTCAGAATCAACAGCATTGGAAGTTTACGTTTGTTCAACATATCTTTCGCCAATTCTGGTGTGTATGAGTGCACAGCCAAGAATATACATGGGCAAGAGTCGGCTAGAGGCACAATTGCGGTTCTAGGTAATTACATATTATAATAGATCTCGAACTTTCATTATTATGGTATTACTGTAATGCCGTAGAATGCGTAGATATATTACAGTAGATTGGGGTGACCGATAATGGGAGGTGAGATTGATTTTTATCGAAATTATTCTCTTGTTGTGTGTGGCTACAGTTTTTGTAAAATGATGATTACAATATTGACAGTATTTATAAAGGGTTTTTTTTTTAAATGTTGACACATTTATCTATAAAAAAAACCAAAATATTATCATACCATGTTTCTGTACCAATATACACTTATGGATGAACGTTTAGAACAGTGTCTAGTGATGACTAACGAATTATTGAGCAGCTATTATTTTCCATATTTTATTTACCTGACAACGGTTTGCTAACCTCAAACTTGAACATAAAACGTATTTGACTTTTATTACCTAAAAAATTAGCATGTTTATTATTAATAATAATTAACTAATGACATTATCCAATAAGTCGATATCTGAAGTATATTCTCGGTAGACCTTTATCAAAAATGAATGGTTTGGCAACCTCTGGTATATGGTGACAACTTTAAACTTAGGACTATTTAATAAATAGTTATTATTTGAAATTATAAAATAAACTATTAATGTTTTTTTACTATGATAATATTAAATGCAGTTTTTGTCAAAATAATAATAACTGCAATTCGATATATATACAGGTGATGTATTAGAACAATCACCCGGGGACCGTTTCGTCAATTTGGCATTCCGTGAGGCCAACTTGGAAGTCGACAGAGCGGTAAACGCTACGATTAATTCGTTGTTCGGTTCCAACGACAGAGTCATGAATCCGGAAAAGTTGATGAGAATGTCCAGGTTCCCAGACGTGTTCGCCAGAGATGTGGCCAAATCAGCCGATATTTTCGAAAGGACATTGGCGAACGTCCGGAAACACGTGCAAGCCGGACTCAAGGTTAACTTGACCGAAAGTAATAATTATCGATTAATTGTTTTTTCTCACAAATATTTATAAATAGCACAGAAGATAAATATAATTTAATTTCTGTTCTTCAGATTTTTCTTACAGAGACCTATTGTCAGTGGAACAATTGGACTTGATTGCTAATCTATCCGGATGTCTGAAATACCAAACAAAGCCCAATTGTAGCGACATGTGTTTTCACACCAAATATCGGACGGTAGACGGTACCTGTAACAATTTACAAAATCCACTGTGGGGGTCGTCTCACACGCAATTCAGACGGATTTTAAAGCCAATATATGAAAATGGATTCAACACGCCGATTGGTGAGATAATAATATCATAATATATATAAAATATATAAAAATAATAAAACCTGACAAAATATCCGTTTTGGTTAAACCAACCATTATTGTGTGTCTTACAGGTTGGACTAAAGGTATGAAGTATTATGGTTTCGAAAAGCCCGGCGCTAGACTAGTGTCGACGTCCATGATTCGCACAAACGAAATCACCTCTGACGAAGAAATCACGCATATGGTGATGCAATGGGGTCAATTCTTAGATCACGACTTAGACCACGCCATACCGTCGACAACCAAAGAGAGTTGGGAAGGTTTGTGCTAATCAATATTAAATGTCGTTATCCTCGACTGCAGCGGCCTACTGCCTGTTACTGATTAATGAATATTATATCTGTACGCGTCTATTGTGTATTTCTAGGTTTGGACTGTAAGAAAACGTGTGCCTATTCTTTTCCATGCTTTCCGATGGATGTGCCGCCAAACGACGACCGCATAAAAAATCGTAGGTGTATGGATTTCATTCGAAGTAGTTCCATATGTGGTACTGACACGACATCGGTGTTCTTTGATAAGCTACAGCCCAGAGAACAAATCAACCAATTGACGGCTTTCATCGATGGTTCACAAGTATGGTCGCAAATATAACGGTTTTAATATATTATGTGTTATCTATAAATGCATAATATAATATGCGATTTAAATATTTAATCATATGTCGCGAATGTGTTTATTAGATCTACGGATTTACAAGCGATCGTTCGTTTATACTGCGAGAAGTTCAAACGGGTTTTGGTCTGATGCGAGGTGGTATATCGTCCAATTTCGGTAAAGAAATGTTACCAATTGCCGGAGCCGACGAAGTGGACTGCAGGAGAGACCTGACGGAGAGCGACACTGGATGTTATTTGGCCGGCGACATTCGAGCAAACGAACAGGTATAATATCGTCCGACTGAGCTTTAGACAAAGAATATTACAAATTGATCAACCGATTTAAGAAAACAAATTAAATTAACATTTCAGGTGGGCTTATTGGCCATGCATACAATTTGGATTAGAGAACATAATCGTATCGCCAGAGAGTTACGCAAGATTAATCCGCACTGGGAAGGAGACGTCTTGTTCCACGAAGCGCGGAAAATCGTGGGCGCGGAATTACAGCACATAACCTTCAAGCATTGGATGCCCTACGTACTCGGACCTAAGGGCATGGACTTGTTGGGCCAATATCAAGGATACGACCCAACCGTAGACCCGTCCATATCCAACGTGTTTGCCACAGCTGCCCTCAGATTCGGGCATTCAATCATTAATCCGGTTTTGAGCCGGCTCGATGATAACTTCACTACTATTCCTCAGGTATAATGATATTTTACATTGTCGAAGTGGAATTTCAAGAAAATCAATTATCGTTTACAGGGTGACTTGTCACTGGGAAAAGCGTTTTTCACACCATGGCGTTTGTCCGATGAAGGTGGCACGGATCCTCTGATGCGTGGGTTCTTTGCCGTACCTGCCAAAAGAAAAATGCCCAAACAGAACCTGAACGATCAGTTAATCGATCATTTGTTCACATCGGCGCACGCCGTATCATTAGACTTGGCGGCAATGAACATACAACGCAGCAGAGACCACGGCATTCCCGGTTATACCGAATGGAGGACAGTGTGTAACATGTCTAAAGCTGAAAGTTTCGATGACCTCAAAAACGAAATCAGTGATAATGATGTGAGAAATAAACTTAAGGAACTGTATGGTCACCCGGGTAAGACACATTTGACTCCAATTTTTGAGCAACATTATATACCTTATTATCTATTCTCTTTTTTTCCTTTCAGGTAATATCGATGTTTGGGTCGGAGGAATTCTCGAAGATCAAGTAGCCGGAGGTAAAGTCGGTCCGTTGTTCCAATGCTTATTGATAGAACAGTTTAAAAACTTAAGAAATGGTGACAGGTTCGTTTGTTCGGTATAATTGTTTGCACATGTGCATTTATTGAATTTTTTTTATCGTAGATTTTGGTACGAAAATCCTTCGACTTTCAGTCCAGCAAAACTCACACAAATCAAACAAGCTTCACTTGCTAGAGTTCTCTGCGATAATGGAGACAATATCACTCTGACGTCTAGAGATGTGTTCAAGTTACCCGAACTACAATCGCCCAAGTTATTACCATGTAAATCGATTCCAAGTATTGATCTGAGACTTTGGTTTGAATGCAACGGAGGTATAGACATAAATAAAATAATATGTATATTACAAGACTTGAGATATTTTTTAGCAATTAAATATTTTAGATTGTCCCGGAGAAAATGCGTCTAAAGAAATGGAAGAACTCAGGTCCAAAGACGCATTGGCCAAAGTAATGAACATGACTGAGGGAAAACTAGAAGGTCTAAGTCAGTGGCTCGACGGGCTTAAATTGGACATTAAGAGATTAAAACGCGAACTCAGACATTTGACAAAAGCGAATAACAGTGGATGTTATGATGACACTGTCAAAAGGAGGCGCAGAGACGGACGAACTTGGGTTTCCAAAAAATTGTACTAAATGCGAATGCCGGAGTAAGATATTTTATTACTATTATGTTTTTTAATATACGTTTTGAGAATACTTAAAATTTCGAAATAAAACGTAAACATGTATAGGTACATTACTATTATTTTATTATATATGTACCTGTAACTAATTGAAATTTGAATTTCATCGGAATATTGTTACTCAAGAGAACAAAATAATTAATTAAAAATTATTATATCCTTTATTTTCAGAATTCTCAAATATTGTGCAAGACTTTGTGTTGAAACAGATTTACAAAGATATTATAAAAAATACCAGTTTTATTTGTGTATGGCAAAATCAAATCAAACAAAATAATATGCAATGTGTGATGACAGGTTTCATTGACCTAATTGATTTTATATTTTTTATGTATAATATCTACTACTATTGTAAATTATTTTTGATTTCTCGTTTCTTAAAAAAGAAATATTTTCAATTATGACAAAATAAACATTGATTAAATTTCTATATATTATGTTTTTTTATATCAACTTCTTATTTTAACAGGATAAATTATTAAAATTTACTTAATAGAAAATACATATATTATAAACAATTTTATGTTTTAATTAGTATTTAAGTATTGTATCCCACAAATCGTTCTCCTTGAATACTCAGTTCTCTTCTACCAAGAATAATAGGAATTAATTAATGTTTAGTACAATATATTAATTATACGAGCATTGAAAATATTTGATTTAAGCATTAGGTATGTAAAACGTTTGTATACATGTATTATATAATTCAATATAGGCATGTGAAAACAACTATAATATAGATACATAATATACGTTAGAACGATTAGCAGGTATTAATATTAAAGAGGAAATGTTGCCCCTACATATTACGATACCTATTTATGCACGATAATTAATATAAATATAAAAAAATTTCAGATATTATGTATCCCCGGCCTCGGCCCACAGTGGAGTATAGTTACAAAAAAGCTGTCCAAAAATATTTTATATGTTTATGAAGTTGAAATAAGTATAAACAATATTAGATCATAATCTTATAATTTTTATTAATCAATTTTTACAAAAAACATTGATTATTTTTTTGGCAAATCATATATCTCAATCAATATCCATTTCGTCGTATTTTTGATTAGAAGACTTCACTGATGTCTTCTGTAAGTTGTTCAGGGAGAAAAAGTTTCAATATTTCACTTGAAGAGGCTTATTTTTTTTTCTGATCTTATATTACTCTTCAAACGTCTCCATATATATCATACTGTAACCACTAGATATTACTTCTAGTATAATTTTAAATAATAAAAATTACTTATCTGTATACTTAAATGATAATAATTATTAATTACATATTTAGTGGCAACGATATACCCAACTATTGTATACAATAATTATAAAAAGAACGTTACTTAGGTACCACCGATTTATTAAAATAACGATTAACTAAATGGTGTGAATCGGCAGAACATTTTTCCTTTAAATATCTAATACTTAGTGTCTATATTATACATTAAAACAAATATTTTTTTTGACAGCACCCGACACAAATACAATAATATTAATTCCTTTATAAATTGCATAAATATCTTAAAAAACAAAGATAAACGGACATGTTACATTACACTATGAATAAATTGTACCTACTGTATTGAACCAACTAAATATCAACCCATCTACTACCCTAAACATAATAGTTATTTGAAATCACTATTAACAACATTTAATATTTAAATGCATACTGAATATTACATTGTACACGATAAACACGATGGCATTATTGATTTGGGTATAATTGAGAGAGGAGAGGTGGACCAGTCTCTGCATAATGATTAATGAATGTGTTAAATTTGAGTTTAATGACAACTCTATGTACTCGTATACCCATAGGCGCAAATAACCCAAAAATATTAGAGGAGCTTAAGCAGTAAGCACCCAAAACATTTTAGAGGAAGTAAATCCGTGAGGTTAGGTAAACCCTCACACTCGTCTTATATTCATACTTCTCCTTATAACCGTTACATATTATAATATGATATCTCTCTGACTGAGTCTGACTCTATTAAAAAATAATATTAATTAAATATTTAAACCAATATTGTATATAGGTGTATAGGAAACTTAATTCTTTTTAGCTTATTTTATTATAAATATAACTTTCTTCACAAAAAGTTTGAATTAGGAACAAGATTCGCACAAGATTAAAATACTTGATTTGCACCAATGATTATAACTAGATACGATAAAAACGGTTTTGAACTAAGGCGGTCTAACTTTTTGGTAAATATATATTACAGTTTTAACAAATAATCGTATATTTTTGTAATTCTCAATTATTTTGAAAACTGAATAGTACCTACTGTATTTTCTGTTCTTTTAATCTCACAAAATACAAACTAGATCCAATTCATACCAGACAACCACCTCAATGTTTGCAATTGAAGCGTTTTTCTACTATGCAAGGTATCGTCAAACAAGATTATAAAAAAAATTACATCATTGTAAAATAAATATACATTCGTCTCTTCAATCGAAAACTATTGGACCTCATTTGGTCCACAGTAATTATACATTTTTTATTTATACTAATAGTATAACGAATCTTTGGTTATACATTTTTTCTTGTATATTTATTATTTTTAGATTTTAAGTTATATATGAATCGTGTATGAGTGATAATTGTTTATTAAAAAAATAATCAAGAGATACAAACCTAAAATAATAATTGTTATGTCTTATTTTCCTCCATCAGGTACGACGACGACTCCTTCCTGCTTCTGTTGAAGAAAAACCCTTGACACTATCTCATAGTAAAACACAAAATATTTATTGTCCCCTTAAAATATTGATTGGTCGGTAGTTATGATGGAAAAAACACCACGTTTAACCGGTGAAAGCAAACCCAAGCCCGGATTAAGGATCAATTGGGCACCGGGACACCATACACTTAGTGGCCCCCCTTTCAACTTTAACTTCGAAAATAATTGTATTATTACATATTAACGACTTTAATACTTTATATTATTGTATAATTTTTTACTATGCAAAAAATATACAGTCTATCTTATGTCATAGTAGGAGGAGTCTTTTTTTAACAATTATGGATCGATGATATGGAATTTCTTTAAAACAAAATAGACGTGTTTCATTATTTTTAACAGGCATTTTTTTTATAACATTTTCAAAATTTTTAAACACGCAGTTGTACCAATAATAAAATCGACTTTATTTTTTTCAAATGGTACCTCCTAACTACTATATTTTATCATGGATTCTGGTAAAGGTTTTAGTTTGAACATTTTGACAGTCAAATAATCAATTTTAGTTTACTAGGTTATTACTTATAAACTATGGTCCTCGAAAGTTTGGTATAATATGAATTAATACTTTTTACTGAAATACATAATTTACAAGAGCTAAATATTTTTTTTTAACTACCTAAATACTTAAATAGTTAAATCAGTAATCGAAAATGCTCAGAAAAAAAACATAAACAAAATTGTGTTTGTCAACACAGTTCATTATTTATGGTAATTTTTCTTGATATAAAATTGAGAACAATTTTATTTTATAATTATTATTTATTAAGTAATAATAATTTACCTACTACCTTGTTTTTGGACGCGTTAAAAAAATATATTTTTGGGATAAAGAATGGCCCCGGGACCTTTGCCCCCCCCCTTAATCCGGGCTTGAGCAAACCTCGCCTGTATCCCCAAGTCAGAAAATCCAATTTAAAAGTGTAAAACCCGAAAAATCGTTCACGGCAGTGCCATCTAGCGACGAAGGTGAGAAGCAGCAACAGGTGATTTTTGTGTGGGCGCTCGTCGAGAAGTTTAAGACGACTGTGGTAGACCGCGCAGTCGTTATCATCTGCGGAATTCTTGTCGCAATGATCGAATTCGACGAAGCGAGAAGACTTTCGACCACCTGCGGAGATATTTTGAACTTATGTCTTGACTCTTGATTAATAATTAATATTAACCACTGCTGCTGATATCTGGTATCGGATTCGAGGGGTTCCACCCCCTACTACCCCCTGTACATAGAGTTGAACAGCGAAGTCGATTTATGGGCGATACGCCATTCATCGCACGATCCTTCAAAAATCTGAGGATCGCTAATCAACTGTTAATTTATAATAATAATAATAATTTATTATCTTTATACCTGTGCTCGAATAAAATATCTACTAATCGTAACCTAATACAGTTATATAATAAGTAACCCTACAGATTACTTTTGTAGGTTTTTCGTAGTATTTTGCACTTTAATCAACACATTATTCTCCATAAAAATGTTAACCTTTGTTGTTCACCAACCTATAGGGCACAGGCTAGTGTTAGTGTCACGAACTTGTATTTTTGCATTATTATTTATTGTTTTAAATTCAACGTAAACTAAAAACAGATTAGTTTACCGCATAGTATTAAAAACTAAAAACCTCAACACGAATAGATGTTACCTATAATATATTATATTCTAATACCTATGTTTAAAATGTATTATATTATTATGTAGGTAGGTAGTAGATGGTATAGGTATATAATACTATATATTATATATAATAAATCTACACCTACTTTATCAATGGAATTGTAACAATGAAGAAATTTAAAGCAATATTTATCTACTTCTTAATGCAAAACATTTTTTTTTTATAGAGGACAAAAGTTCAAGGTTTACCTGAATTACAGCCTTTCTGACCTTACATTATCTTTTGTAATGTTATACATATTATTCATATTATTAATCGATAGGTACATTTTTGTATTTTTATTTAACTGTTATGTTAGTTTTCTTTTTATTCGATTTGATGAGCACATCATATTATTATCTCCAATCGGCTCATCCGCTCATCTATGTTTCCTGCAGTATAATCATCTAAGAAACAAATAAAATGATTAAGAGTCAAAGAAAACGTCACCTATACTGCTATACCTATGAATAAATATATTATTGTTTATTAATGTATTTATATTTATTTTGTGTATCATTTTTGGTACCTACACCGGGCTA